GCTGCTTCAGTACAACACAGTATATTTCAACTAAACATGCACACACTTTTAACCATGATCAAATGTGATATTTGTTCCATTTTAACAATTTTCTTTTTTTTCCCCTGTCTCTTCTTTTTCATCCCTTCTCCCATATCTCTAGCTGCAGAATTCCCTAAAAAGTGATTTGTGCCTTGATCAGGGTCCCGACACAGAAAATATTCCAATCATGTATATCTGCCATGGAATGACACCACAGGTTAGTGAGACTAATGATCTTGTATCTTACTACTGCTTTTAGTAGGATGTGTGGGTGGAACCATGCTGTTAGTGACAATGGGTTGTTTTTTATTTCTTCTAGTACAATACCTCCTTAGGCTGTTTGTTAGATATCTTAGAACAGGGGTAGGCAACCTAAGGCCCGGGGGCCAGGTGCAGCCCCCCGAGGCCTTTACACCGCACCCAGGCTGGTCCTGCCGCCACCGCCGCCCACCATGATGATATTGATTATTGTTGTTATTACTTGTTCTTGGGGTTTTATTTATTTATTTATTTATTTATGGTGCTTCGCCGCCGCCCCCCCCCCCCCATTGTCTGAGGGACAGCAACCTGGCCCCCGGCTCAAAAAGGTTGCCTACCCCTGTCTTAGAATGAACAGAAACATTGGCTGTGCCATGATGTTGAGAATCAGTGATTTATTAATTAGAGGCTTGTCAAGAAACCTCATGTATTCACTCTTATAAAATCTGAACAAAAGAATGAAGTAGAGCTACATTTGTCCACAATTGTTGGCAAAGATGTTTATTATTAAACTTTGAAAGCATGCTCCCTAATGTGAATGCAACAAGTATTCAAGGTCATTTATTTTTATTTTCTCTTACATTGCTGAATTTTTGAATCCCAGGAATTCTTTTTTTTAAGCATTTGTAAGATCCTCAAAGTCATTTTTAAAAATAACATATTTGTTGTAAAATATTCCAATAAATATGTTCTAGCTTGTACTTTGTAAATGGGCAATGTAGCTCTATTTAGAGTAATGCTACAAAGTTAGCAAGGCTACAAAACCAAATGCAGGGAGTTGCTAAATCCAGCTTAACTCTAGCAAAGTGGTAACACCTGCTAGTGCAGTTGCAGTGGATTACGCTTTTGTGCAAGAGGTTGTGCAACATCTTGAATCAGCAGTTGCGTGACCAATTGTACAGCTTCTTGCACAATTGCATATATAATTTGCACACTTACTTATGCAATAAAAACTGTATTTTATACCACTTTTGCACTAATTTTATTTTTAAAATGTAATCACTAGTACAAAGAGTCAATGACAGAACTGGAAACAGACTTGAGGTTTTGCTACTTAACTTTATTATTTATTTTATTTACATTTCATATGTATGCTGCCTTTCTCCCAGAAGGGGGCCCAAAGCGGTTCAGAGATAAAAACATTTTAAAATCTTCACAATAAAGAATTAAAAATAATTAAAATCATCTAACTTAAGATCGTATAAAATTACATATATATAAAAGTTAAAAAAAATAACTAAAGCACACACACCATATAAAAGCCACCCTGACATGATTATATATTAAAAGCTTGCTGGCAAAAAGAAAGGAGGCAGGACACCAACCTAGCCTCCCATTGAAAGGAGTTCCAGTGGGTGTGAACAGCCACTGAGAAGTGTCCTCTTGTGTCCTCACCAAGTGAGCCTGTGATGGTGGTGGGACTGAGAGAAAGTCTTCCCCTGAAGACCTTAGTGGTCTGGCAGGCTCATATGGGGAGGTACGTTTCTTCCAATAATCTGGAGCTAAGCCATTATGCTCTGCTATAGCAGCATTGCATAGATTTGGTGTTGGTATGTTATTCTAACAGCCAGCATGGTGTCGTGGTTTGAGTGTTGAGACTATGACACTGGGGGACCAGGGCTCAAATCCCTGCTCAGCCATAGAAACTTGGGTGAGTCACTTTCTGTCAGCCTCAGAGGAAGGCAAGGGCAAACTTTCTCTGAACAAATTCTGCCAAATACTTTTGAGGAAGTAGACTGAAGTCTATGAAAGATCATGCTGCCAACTTCTTTATTTCAGTTAGTCTCAAAGGTGCTACAAGATCTCTCTACATACAAATTCTGCCAAGAAAGCCCCATGATAGGTTTGCCTTAGGGCACCATAAGTCAGAAATGACTTGAAGGCACAGAACAATGTTATTCTAGCCATACTCTGTGTGACATATCTGAAATGTATCATTGACAATCAGGACATAGAAAATTGTGAACAGATCATACAATAGATTTGAGATATTTTCAGCCCACCAGATGTTTTTGAATGCAGGTTCAATAATTCCTTATTGAATTATTGCTGATGAAACTTTTGAAAGTGAAGTCTAAAACAAATGGAAGATCAAAGGTTCTCCAGCTTAGAAACAGGCAGTGGGCAAGATTGGATGAGATTCAAAGATTCATCAGGGATAATGGGTTTGTTTCTAAAAAAAAAAAAAAATCACGCAATGTACAATAAATAGGAGCATCACTTTGTTTAGCTGAAATCAGGCACATGATCCATTGATTCGAACAGAGGTTACAGGAGTCATGCAATGGGACTCCATCGTGGCTTTTATTCCATGGCAACTTTGTTAAAATGTGAACTGAAATGCAATACAAAGCATAAGACAAGGCCAGTACAAATGTGCTATAAGTGCATGTGTGATGCATCAGCAGTATTACTGTTACGTAGTTAATATCTTCTGTTTACCTTTAAAATATGTGAATTTGGATAAAAGTTACTTATATACAAAGTTGCATAAATGGCAGCATATAATTTGTTCCCTTTTCTGTTACTTAAAGAGTTGGCATGATTATGATGATGATTGTTGGTATGGCTCAATAAAGCTGTTTTTATTTAGATCATTTATGCTAGATCAGCTTAGAGTAATGTTTACTTAACTCATAGGGGTTGCAGACTGCCAGAAATAGTGCAAATTGAGTCCACTTTTAGGGTTAGGGTTAGTGCTAGAGAATCATGGGAACTGTATTTTATTGTGGCACCAGAGCTCTCTGACAGAGAAGGCTCAATGTCTCAGAAAAAAAAAATTCCCATGATTCCCTAGCACTAACCCTAACCCTAAAAGTGGACTCAATTTGCACTATTTCTGGCAGTCTGTAACCCCCGTCAGTGGCATCTCCTGGCCCAAGACCCTAATTGTGCTTTATTAGGTAGTAGCCACTTTGAGCAAGGGAGGTCTGTTCTCCTGTCAATTGCAATGCAGCAGATTGACATTTCCCCACACACCCCTCCTGCCAGTGATCTGTGGTGTGGGGAGGAATTGTGACAGTGTTCCTACTTCTCCTTGTCATGCACGAGCTCACTGGTGGGAAGTATGGAAACATCAGTCTGATGCATCCTGATTGACAGAAAAACAGACTTCCATTGCTCACAGGGATTACTGTGCAAGATAGGACTGGGGAACTTTTGCAGTCCTTACTTATTATTGCCATGATTGTGAATACATAGGGATCATAAATAGAAATCAGTAATGAATGTGTAACTTTAGGTTACTCATTCATAACTCTGATTATAAATTACAGCTATTAAATGAAAGATACAGTGACAGAAAATTGTATTCTTAGGATCTGCCATCATAATTGGGGGTGAGCTTATTATGATACTTTATATTTTTGTGCTCTTAATTAATGTGTTGACTTGGCATCTTTCAGTTACATGACTTCTACAAAGTAAGATCATGGTGTTTCATAATAAGCCAAACTGGTGAATAATAATTAAAAATGGCCTTTCTGTGTATGGAGAAGTGCTGGATTCTTGATTTTATATTGCTGACATTTGGTGGTGCATGAAAGGGTGTGTGTCTCTCACCCAGAGGAGCTAGCCTTTTTTACTGACTGCCTTTAATATTAATCACTCTAGTGAGAACATGCTTGAGTTAATTATGAATGATGGAGAGAGATGTATCAGAGAGCCTCATCTATCCTAAACAGGCTGGAGCTTGTCCTCCCTCTTTCTCCACCCTTCACACCTATAATTATATTAATAACCAGCATTTGTCTACAGAGGTTTTTAAAAAATGACCTTCAGTATTTTCTTGTAACAAACTCCCTCATTCACAAGTGATGGAGAGTCATTATTCTTGCTTGTCTCAGAATATTCTACAACTCTGTTTTAATGTATCATTCATCTAACACAGTGATGCTAGAAACTCACTGTTGCAGCTCTAAATTAGCAATTTTTAATTAAATATGATTGCATATAACACACACATACCCAAAAACTTCCTTCAGAATGAGCAGCATTTTGCATTGCATAAGACTATTTTGGAACTAAATGCAACCTGAATGAGATATTTGTAAAATATTTTGCAGACTAGTATTCTACAGGTTGTTTCTATTGGCTAAAGTTTAATTCCATGCCCTTCATAGTCCTGTACATAACCTATAAACACAACATTGATTTCCTACATAGGAATAGGGAAGCACACCTTGGTGCATTGATCAGAACATGCTACTGTGGCTCATGGAATGAACTCAGCCTCTTCATATCCATGAATTCAACCATCCACAGCTTGATTTTTTTTAAAAAAAAATCCAAAAAGCAAATCTTGGTTTTGCCGTTTTATATAAGGGACAACATTTTACTATCACATTGTATATAATGGGACTTGAGCACCCATGGATTGGGTATCCACAGGGGCTTCTGGAACCACATCCCAGTGGACCCACTGAACCTACATGAAGAAAAATACCTTTTGTCCAATTCATCATGAAGTGATGAGACAGTGTTATTGTAGGGCAAGTGTGAAGAACATTTGGCTCTCCAGATGTTGTTAGGCGATGACTCCCAGCATTCCTAACTATTGCCCATTCTGGTCAGGCATGATAGGAACTGGAGTCCAATAGCATCTGGAAGAGCATATCTGAAGGACCTCTGCTACAGAATGGAAAAGTAATTGATCTTTCTGAACTGATGTAGGCCTTAATCCTGTAGTTTAATTACACCCATCCAGTGTAGGCCCTTTGGAGGGCCAGCATGGCGTAGTGGTTTGATTGTTAGACTATGACTCAGGAGAGCAGGGTTCAATTCCCTGTTTGACCACAAAAACCCACTGGGTGACATTGGGCAAGTCACACTCTCTCAGCTTTAGAGAATGGCAATGGCAAATCCCCTCTGAAGAAACTTGCCAAGAAAACCTTATGATAGGTTTGCTTTAGAGTCTTCATAAATTGGAGGTATACAACAACAACAAAAAATCCTATGAAATTTATGGTATTGCCATAAGTCCACTAGAAAGCACATGCATTCACACATGTGCACACACACACACACACACATGTAGACCCGTTGCATCATTTCTTGAATGGTAAGTTAATACATAGGGAAATCTTATTGGGACTCTTAACAATTGGGTATAGGCTGTAGCATGAATGTACACATAAAAGTAT